AAAAAAAAAAAAAAAAAAAAAAAAAAAAAAAAAAAAAAAAAAAAAAAAAACCTACTCCTCCCCCCGTGATCCTATTCCGAGTCCCCTCCCCCCTTGGAAACCCTACTCCGCGGTCCTATCTAAACCCCACGAATTCCCCCTCTCCCCGGGAACCCCCTCGGGAAACCCTACTCCGCGATGCCGCATCCAACCCCACGGACCCCCCTTTCCCCAGGAACACCCCCCTGGAAATCCTAACCTCGCGATCCTTCCCAACCCCACGAACCCCCCTTTCCCTGGGAACCTCCCCCTTCAGCGAGCCCTCCCCCCAAGCCCCCGCTTCTTCAGCCGCGTCTTCTTCCTTCGTTCCCGCTCTGAAACAAACAAAAAAAATCAAGAATTACTAGTATGATTTGCAGCAGGTGACAAAACTGGTTTCTCGAAATTCATTTAGTCCCTCAATAAATTTCAAAGTTCTTTTCTATTATCATCCATTGATTGGACGTATTTCTGCCAAACGGAACTATGTGCATTAAGGCATGAGCCCTGAGACTCATAATAATGTATGCATGACAAGGCTCACGTCATAATGCACATAGTTCCGTTTGGCAGAGACACGTCCAATTAGTTGCACGCAGCTACGCTAAAATGAACTATGTGCATGGGATTTGCATGCAACATAGTTCCTTGTAGCATAAACTCGTCCAATCCTTTCGTCAAAATTTTAGTCAAGGCACTTTGCCAAAATTAATCAAATTTAGGTGCTATTTTATCAAATTTTAATTTTACTTGTAATTTTAATAATTTGATACTAGGTATGTCTTCAGAGTACTTACATCATGCAGCACCAATTACAAGTTTGAATTCAGTTGTAGTTACTGAACTGCATAACGAAAAAGGAACTAATTTTTCCGACCCTTTAAAAATCACCTATTTATGTAGAAAAATTGATGTCTCTCGTGTCTTTTCTACTGTGAATGGAAAAAATAATTTCTTTTTGCGTAATGCAGGTAATTACTTTTATAGTTGAATGCACTACCTATTGGACGTATTTCTGCCAAACGGAACCATATGTGCATTAAGATGTGAGCCCTGTAATGCAGATATTCTTATGGGTCTTTGGGCTCATGTCTTAATGCACATAGTTCTGTTTGGCAGAAATACGTCCTATCGTATAGTATTACTTGGGATTTATAAAATAATGCAGAACTTGGAGGAATCGCAAATCTCAAAGTTTCTTGAGGCAACTAAGGGCATTAAGGTGATTCGATGGACGCCATGTTTTGTGTCAGAACGGCATGCGATATATCGCATCAATTGGTTCCATTCTTTCAGCTACTCGTCATTTTTCTCCAATTTTGAGATCGCAATTCTGTTGTCAGGAGACTAAAGCACTCACTTACCAATTTTAACAAAGAAATTCAACGCAATAAAGGCGTGGTTTTTTCAGAGAGAAAATATCGCATTCGATACTGATATCGAAACTGCACTCGAATGCGATATTTTCTCTCTGAAAAAACCATACTGATATCGAAACTGCACTCGAATGCGATATTTTCTCCCTGAAAAAACCACGCCTTTATTGCGTTGAATTTCTTTGTTAAAATTGGTAAGTGAGTGCTTTAGTCTCCTGACAACAGAATTCGATCTCAAAATTGGAAAAAAATGACGAGTAGCTGAAAAAATGGAACCAATTGATGCGATAAATCGCATGCCGTTCTGACACAAAATATGACGTCCATCGAATCACCTTAAAGTTAAGAATGAGATAAGTAATTTTAAAATATAATTATTCTTTAAGAGTTTATAGATGAAATTAATTAAAAATGGATTAAATAAATTGTACTATTGATGAATTCCACTATTTAAAATTTATACAACAAATACGCATTTTGGAGGGCACTACTTCCGTCCTCAATGACTCGTCTTGCTAGGCATTTCCTTCGTTTTTTGCAGACCTGAAACAAACTAAAAATAAAAAAAGGAATGATTAGTCGGGCCTGAACCTAATTTAAAGATATACATTTTAGTAAAACATATTTTTGAATATGCTAAATTAATGTGTCGAAACTGATATCTACTTACTTCTCTAATGCAAATCGCCATTAATTACCTGTTGCTTTTTTACTTTTATCTTTTATCTCTCGTTATTTATTCTGTGAGCAACTAATTAGCCATTTAAATTTGCTTTCCAAAATACCTACAGAATAATTAAACTGTCCTAGTAATTTGTGGTAAATCATGCCAAAATCTCTATTAATGATAAACATAGTAATTGGACTACATTTTGCAATTTGGAACTATAAATTCCGGCCCGGTTTAAAACAACGCATGTGCCATTAGTTTCCCCATGCACATAAGTGTTTTTTTGGATGAGCCAGAATTTATAGCTCCAAATTGCAAAATGCAGTACAATTAATGTGTGATTCAGTAATTAAAATGCGAATTTTTGATGCTTCCATAGGACTAAATTTTGCAAAAAGGAACTGTTAATTCTATCTCATTAAACAATAGCAGTTTGTTTCCCGATGCAGTTAAGTGCTTTTGTGATAGAAACGGAATTAGTAACTCTCGATTGCAAAATGTAGTTCAACTGCAAATGATTTGAAAAAGGCTGCTTATCAAAGTTTTAAGGACGAATAGATAAAGAAAGGAAAATTGATAAGAAGAAAGAGAGTGAACTAAAAGTAAAATTAGCGAAATGAAAAGTTAGTTAAACAGAATTCACTGCTGCCCTCGTTTCTTGCCGATCTGAAAGAAAGAGAAATAAAAGAAGATTAATTTGAGGCATATACGTGGAATGTAAAAGGAAAATGAAATAACTAGAACAGTTTTTTTAGGGTTTATCTCAAACTTTATAAAAATATGGAATAAGATAAAAAGTAGTATGAGGCACACAAAACAAAATAAAGCAAGGTGAAACTACTTTCAATGTGTTCCTGTCTTGTTGATCTGAAAAGAAAATGAATAAAAGATAAAAAACAACACAGAGAGAAAAATTAGTATGATATGGACTGCATTTTGCAATTCGGAGCTGGAAATTCTAACTCATCTGAAAAAGCGCTCATAAGTATAGGGAAACTAATGGCACATACATTGTTTTTCAACCGGGCTAGAATTTATAGTTCCAAATTGCAAAATGTAGTCCATATTTGTGAGGAAAATAAAAATGCCGGAAGGCGATTTTACTCGCGATCAGTATGCTGAAAATAACTTCCACTCTGACCCTGTCTCGTGTTAATTTAGGAAATATACATAAATGAGAAAGAAAAATCAGTATAAAGCTTTCGAAGAGGAGAAAAAATCAGTAAAATATAAAATTAGTTGAAACCATTTAACAAACAGAATGCTAGAAAAGTATAGCCTTCGCGCAATTTTTTTTTTTTTTTTTTTTATTTAAAATTAAACATTCAGTAGCTTATCAGTAGCTGAAGGATAAGATTACTTACCTTTAATTGTGACGTTGCAAATCGCTGCTCATGTTTCATTCCTTTCAGCCTGAACTAATCAGTAGTTTTTCCTTAAAACTTCTGAGAATATTCTTCACTCATTCAATGTTCAAATATTCATTCAAGTATTCACGGAGAATTTGAGGAAGATGCATCGGTTACTTGTCTTTTAAAAAAGTAAACCTTTAACGGAATTTTCAAACGCTGCGGTGGAGTTATACGCATTATTTGACTTCATCAATCCATGTTGATCATAGAATACTGTTTTAATACGACTCCCAATGCAAAACTATGACCTGAAAGAAAAAAAGGAGCATTAATTCAAATCTGAAAACATGAGAACAATTGGAAAGTGATGAATGCATTCAACTATTGTTAGCCTAAAAAATGTGAACTTTTTAATGCTGGGATTTTGATGGTAGATTCTCGATTAATTCTTCCGGATTAAGCGCTGAAAATTACTCGAGCATTATCCATCAAAATCCCAGCGTTCTCTTGGATGTCGATCTATGCGGATGAAAAGAAAACAATCGTCATACTGTTGACCTAGAGAGAAAGAAAAAAAATTGGAAAAATAATTGTGAAACATTATTTTCGTTGACGATTTCTTTTTATTATTATCTTTTTTAAAAAACAAAAAGGATACGAGTACTTATACTGA